AAACAAGCGTCCAGACAATGCTAAAATTCTATTCATGAAAAACAAACAAGTATTAACAGATTACCTGTATATATAAAAAGGTAGAAAAAATGAAGTATGATAAGGTATGGTAATGATACCAAAGTGAAATAGAATCAAGGGAAGAGAAAGTAAAAATCAGGACATCTTATATTGAATGGAGGATGAATATCAAAGATGAGATGTCCTCTTTGATCTTGCGACCGAAGTAAATGTAATACGATAGTTTTGGAAAACATGCTTTTATAGCCCATTCTGGCATTTACAAAGGTTGTTCAGTTGAAAATATACTACTTAGAAGTTAAGTAAAATAAAGCTCTATTATTTATTGATAACCTGAATTATCATAAAACAATTCATACTTCAAAAATCACTAATTTACTTCAATGTAATTTTACAATATATATAGTTAGCATTCATTTTTGTTTTATAAAATTATTTAGAAAAAATACCAATTTCATAATTGATACTAAATGATATTTTTTGTCAATAAAAAACTATGAATTAAATGTGTAATAAACAATGTCAAACCTAAATTTTAATTCTTTTCAATTCAATAAATGTACTTCCATTATGAATCAATGTAAAGAATTATTTTTTTATTTTTTTACTGTCACTATTATTATTATTGTTTATGTATTATAAATATGTATGTATTGATACATAAATATTATATACATAAATTAATGAAAATATAATAGTTTTGTTTAATCTCTAAATACAATCGTTGTAAAAAATTAATTTATTAAGTAATTTTGTATCTATTTTACTTAGTATTAGGTGAATTCCTAAAAATATAATTATAAGTAATGTATAAAATATTCTAATCAATTTTAAGATATTTTAATTGTTTTTTAAATTATTAATTCTTTACTAATTTTAAGATCATTTATAATTTTGTTATACTATAAATTATAATCATTTTTAATATATACTATTGGTTAAATAGTATATTATCTCGTCAATTATCCCAAATAATTGCTATTATAAATTTTACCGTTCATATGATATAAAACTATTAATGGTATATATTTATAATTTCATCATTTATTAATGCGATTTTAGATTTGATTATTAATGCAATTTTTGTATTAATTATAATAACACACTCCAAATAAAGAATTATTTTAGTATGATCAGAATCAAATTTTAGATATTTTTTTATACACGATAAAACATTTATTAGACATAATTGTATTTAATTAAATTCAATTTATTTCCTATAAGATAATTTATAGTAATAATAGTATATATGAATAGGACTTCAAATTTTAAATGTATAATTATAAATAGAGAATCTTTCAAAAAAATTACAAAATATAAAAAGTCACAGAGAAATTTATCAACTGTTTAGAATTATTGTAATCTTAGATGTTAAATTAAACGCTACTCCGTGGTAGGGTAGAGAAAATGTATTAATATCAAATAATATTATAAATTATAATTAGCGCTTCTTTGCAGCTGCGATCACTAAAAATAGAAAATTTATTATTTCACATTTTCTAATAAGAGCCGTTTGTTATTTGGATATATTATAAAAAGTCGTGAATTTTATAATTATTTAGAAAACTAATATTTTCGTGCAAAAGTAGAATGAACTGCGTAAAAAGATCAGTGTCATTTTGAATTACCCGATTTTTAGTAATGAAACTTTGTAATAATATAGTAAGGCTCATTTTTTTATTTTTTATTCTAACTGCATTTATCTTTATGGAATATTATTTAATATATACTTCTATCAAATTTCTAAACTTATATGCACTATAAGACATTTTTATCAATTCTTATATATATATATATATATCTATAGTCATATAAGATCATTAAAAAATTATTATTAAATTAAAAAATAGTTTGTATTTTAATCTCATATTCTATATACATTAAGATAATTATTCAACAAAATTCAGTACATAATTTTAAATAAGTATATTATAAAATGCGTAAGTTGATATAAAGAGTAACAATTTAGTATTATTATATTACTCCAGATTTTCATAGTAATTACTTAATTGTATGCTTCAGATAATAAATTATTATTTTATTTGAAACTTACGCTAAATTTATTTTATAAATTTTAGCTTATATACAATGTTAGAATTCAGAGAAAAAATTTTGATAAAAATATTTTGATAATTTTATTGATACATTTATATGTGTATATTGATGTATTTTTCAATTAAATAAACTTAAGAATTAATATAAGATAATGCATTATTTATAATTTCATTTCGGCTAATAAAACAAACAATTAAATTTCATAATACGTAACCAGTAAAAAAGAGAGATGTATATAATTTCGTCACTCAGATGGAATATATCTTCGAAATCGAATAATTTCTGAACATCCACCTCGACGCTTAACCCAGACGACTTTTGTGAGATATCGTCGCGTCTCATTAGAATCGTATGATTTTTTTCTCATTTATAAATAACTAATATACATATATACTTGTTAATCAAGTACATCAAGTAATTTTCGAATAGTGCCTTATTGACCTGAAGTCATATTTATATAGTATCTGTGTAACTGCAGTTATATTTAATTTTCTTTTTATTCCTTTCGATATATATATATATATATATATATATATATATATATTATGAAATAATAGTAATAAAGATTAAATTAATATACTATAAATTAGAATTGAAAACGAAGTATTTAATATAGTAGTATAAATAAATACAAATTAATTTTTTTAAACAAAAATATTCAAATATGTTAGTAAATCTAATATTTGGTATCGAAAAAATTCTAAGTTGAAAATATTTAATGATTATTAATATAGTGACGATTACGTGGAAGTAAATAATAATAATAGAATTAATGCAGTTTATTTAATTAATATTATTATTTATTATAACGTCATTTCAATTCAAGTTATCGATAAAAAAATATTAATTAAATTTTCGATTGTGTTTTGAAACACATAGAAAATTATTTTCATATATAAATTTTGATATATGATAGATATGTTAACAAATTTATTTTTTATAACAATTTCCACTCTTAGAACATATAAATTACAAAAGTTGTAATAACTCATTGTCATTACTTTTAAAATTTGTATCGAATTCTCATTCCTACTTTGTAAAGAAAAACATTACAAAAATAGAATTTAAAGTATACTGATATAAAATCTTAATATTTATTACTACTATATCATATGAGTTTTATTATTTTTCATGCAATAGAGTAATATATTTTATGAATTTTTAATAGTTTTTATAAAGAGAATAAATTAAATCGAAAGACATACAATTATAATAAAGTAAAATAATTGTTCACTCGTTAATTGCAATTATATAAGACAGTGAAAATCACTCGATAACCTTTATGATAAACTTGTTTAAAGTGCTTTATATCATATATTAAAATTTCTTTTTTATATGCAATTTTCAATAGAAATTTATATTTATATATAAATGTGCCAAATTATTACATAGTAACTAATATAACTTTTTTCTATTTGCTTTTTAAAATTGAAATATGCTTTCTGTTTTTTAACTTTTAACAAAAATGTTTAATTTAAAAATACATTATTTTTTAATCGTCTTAATTTACAGCTATATTCGTCATAAGTAATGTCTATATGATCAAAGTAATAAAAATATAGTTTGAAGTTTTTTTGATAACATCATATTCTCTGAATGTTATTTAAAGAAAATGGAATCTTAGGAAATCTGTTTTAATAAAAGCAATATAAAAGTAATTCTGATAATATATTATTATACAAAATGTTAATTATGTCTTTAAACATGCATTCATTTTCCCTGATTTAATTCATTTTTAAAGTTTAACATAAATCTTAAGAAATTTATAATAATAAAATTTAATTGGTAATGATAAATTAAAAAAATTATTTTCTATTTATTCTATTTACAATATTCGTATTTTAAAAACTGAAAAACTGCTTACAAAAAAATTGCAATACACTTACAAGTAAACATGAATAATTAATTTTTAGACAAATGGACGAAATTGCATTTTGCCAAACACACTAATTCATAAAAAATTAAAATAGACTACATTTAATATAATATTCCATTTTAATGAATGGTAGCATTTATTTTGCTGAAACACAAAATCGATCGTATAATTTAAAATATTAAATTTGATGCTCAAAAATAGGTTATATGAGATACATATAGAACTAGGATATAAAACAACTATATTAAATATTAAATTATATTATAAAAATTACTTTATAATAGATAAATATAGGTAGTAACAACTATTATATATACACTATTATATAAACTATTATATAAAACAATCAAAATTTTAATTCAAACAATTTTTATATCATGAATTACGTTTTACAATGTTAAGGTTTTTTTATTAATGGTAATTTAAAAAAATTTAGAAAGCATAAGAATTTTTATTAAAAATTAATTTTTTGTGTTTATTAAATATAAAATATTATAATTTATACAAAAGAATATAGTTTTTCTTATAATAATTACTTGAAAAATAATGACAATTTGTTTACTACAAACTATATAATTTTAATTAAACTTTAATTAAAAATATACATATATGTTTTAACTATTAACAATTAATACAGATATGTATTAATATAATTATATAATAAATATTGGTTATACACAGAACAATTATTTAGTTTATAATGACAGTTCCGGTTTAAACACTTCTTTTTAAATGATGGTATTAATAACAATTTTTCAAATAAAACTATTTTATTTATAAGTGTACATTGTAGTCATATAATAGATACATAAATATTATCTTTACACTGATATATATATATATATATTTACATTAAATTAAAAGATAACACTACTTTTTTTATACATGAAAGTAATGTTTATGATTAAAAGCATTATTAAAACCCAGAAAATATTCGATTATATTATTTTTAATCAATTTTTGCTACACTGCATTTTATTTTATTTATATGCAAGGTCTTATATACTATTAATTGAACTAACTTTGCATTATATACTTTTTGTTCTAGCTCTAAATGTGTTCTATAGCACGACCTTCGGAACTTCTTTTGGGACATAGTCCCCCCGTTTATGGTTCTCTTCTGTATAATTCTTTGATGGTCACGACTCCATCAATTAATAACAGATCTGTCCCACCGCAGATTCGACCCTGTTTAGCATCAACTTCAATTCATTTGGATGATTTAATTAAAAATAATGATGTCATTTGCAACAAAAGAAATAAAAAAAGAGTTGTTTTTGCGGATGACCGCGGGAGGCCTCTCACACAGGTGCCTTATATTATATTATATTATATTATTAGTGGTTTATAAAGTTGTATTTCCTTTGAAAAAATAAACATAATTAAAAATTAAGATTTTTCTTTGACATGTAATGATCTTCCATTGCATTGAACGTTGACCACTTACATAAAAACTTAAAAGATGTGATTAAATATTTTTATATTATTTGAAATCCACTCAATTCAATTATTATCCATATAATTTATCCTGTTTTGTAAAAAAAGTTTATCATTAGCTAATCAAGTTTGGATAATAATGCTAGAATTGTGGATATAATAATTAAATAAAAACTATTCTGATAATTTCTTTGTAAAAATATTCTTATTTTTAAAAATAATTTCAACATTTTTATAATTGATGTTTTTATCGTGAATTACATTTGATAAAATTTTAGTATAAATTCATAAATATATAGAGATTTGAAAATTTATTTGATCAAAAACACTTATAAGCTATATTTTTAAAATAACTAATTTAATTTTCTAAAAACTAGTTTATATTTTTATTTTATTTATATTAAACATATATTTATTTTAAAAGCGGAAACGATAAATAATTCTAATTGCTTGTATTATTATTTTGTGATTAAATTTAATAAATAAAATTGAATAAAAAAAATAAAACTAGTATCTGTATATTTGATCTATTAAAAGCAATAAATTATAAAAAAATTAATTAAACGGATAAATTTTTTACATATTTGTAAGATACAATAACAGTATATAATTTAATTTATTATCAGCGTAACATTAATTTTTTATGCAAGCATTGATAAAAGAATATCTACATTTTATCCACAAGGAAATAAATACTTTAATTATTTATAAGTCATAAGTGCATCTGGTTTCAATTATAAGTAATTAAATGATTTATTTATCTATAGTAATGCAAAATGTTTAGATATATCAAAAATATTTTTTTTTATATTATGACTAATTAAAAAGAAAATACTTTCATAAGTAAAGTTCATTTTTATTTGTAAACAACAGTTAAAAATATTGTATAACATATAAGGTATTTTTGTAATTTATGTTTATAAATATAATTAAAAAATATTTAGTGTATAAATTATATTATTTAGTAATAATATATTATTTAGTAACATTTAAAAGTAACAAATTATGGGATTTTTTAATTTTTACTTTATAGATAACTTTTAAACAAAACAAATTTATAGCATAATCTTTTCATATTACAAATAATGAAAAAAAATAAAATCACTAGATTATTAAAATGTTTTTTCTTAATTTGTAGTAAAATGAGCAATTGACCAATACTTACTTTTAGGTTATAAAAATTATTTTTATATTAATTACTGTAACAAAAATTTTCATTCGAAATAATAATTAAAACTAATTAAAACTATGCTGTACATTTAGTTTAAAAGATCAAATTAATCATTTCTAAGTATAAATACTTAATTACAAAGTTGATGAAAATTAATCTGATGAAAATTCTGTTTATTTGTTGAAATAGGTGCGAATTATGTCGGAGCCGAGCAACATGCCACCGCTCTGGACTCACGTGGCGAGTTTAACGCGTGGCGACTTTTTGAACAACTTCGATAGCAGGTTCACATTGTCTCAACAAAGCTTAACGACAACCTTCCCTTCAACCGAATTGCAGTGTTCCACTAAGTCTGCTAATATCAACCTTTGGGAACCAATTTTTTCCCAACCAGCTAGCGATTACTTAGCATTCCGCGATAAACTCGAAAAAGAATCGGTCAGTTTGGAAAATGTTATTGTGCGCAATTCCGAAAACAATTTTATAGGAACGGTTAAAGTTAAGAACTTTACGTACAATAAGGATGTAACAATTCGTATGACTATAGACAATTGGAAGAGCTACGAGGATGTGAGCTGCGTATACATTAAGCAATCGAATCTAATTACACATACAGCTATGCGTAACCTTTATGATACCTTTCATTTTCGGATACTATTGCCAATTAATGACGGCGACGTGTGTCAGATAGAGTTTTGCGTACATTATGTTACTGACGGTAGCGATTTCTGGGACAACAATGCTGGCTCTAACTATGTTATTAAGAAGAATCAAGATGTGAGACGATGAATTAAATCCCACAATCAAGACAATACTTACAGATCCCATGTAAACAATGCACGCAAAATCCGTTCACGAATAGAAACTACTGTCGTAATTTTCTCTTTTTTCTTTATATTATTAGTTTTTATTATTTCAGATCACAAAAAGGTTTCATTTGCTATATTAATATAGATTCTTATTGAGTAAATAAATATTTAAATATAATGAAATTAAAAAAAGACAATAATAATTAAAATTATATTCTAGAGAATATCGCTTTAAAGTACTGATTCATTGAATACACATGAATTATAAAGACTAAGATAAGATAATATGGTTATACAATTGAGTTTATAAGATAAGTGTTCACATATTATTTATATAATAAGCAATAACACTACACATCAAGCAATAACATCCGAATATAGTGACTAAAAAGCCGAGAATAATGTTATTATTCAGTATTATGGTGGTAAGAATCGATTCTGTAGTTATATAAATATAGTATATTAAAAATAAGATTAAACAACTTTTGATGTAACAATTAAATTATTAATGAAAGATACCTTCCATTTCTTATAGCACAAAATGATTAACGATTATAAACCTGTGAAGGTCGATTATATAATTAAATTACCAAAATTTGAATACTATAATTATAGATGTATAAATTCAAGCGATAAGAAATTATTATATTATCGATAATGTCATTCAATATATAAGTTTAATAATTTAGTAAGATGAAAAATGAAAAATTCCAAACGTGCCTACATGTGATACCTTTTTTATTTGTGATTAAAATACGGTTCGCTATTAGAGCGGTTTCCAAAACTATTAAACATTTGCTACAAAAACAGTACTACCCATAACCTTCGCGTCGATTTTAATATTACCAATAAATAAGGAGAACTAAATATGTCAATGGAGCTGTAATTGAGGTTACATTATTGATTAGGTTATAATTGACATATTAGTAGAACCTTAATAACCATGCGTTATGTCATGGTATCACTTATTCCAATATCGACATCAACTACAATTTATCTAATGTTAAAATTATCATTTGTCAACTTATACTATTGTCATCTTTTGTTACCTTCTATTCACTCAAGTGCTTCATTGTATATCTTAAATTAATCAGTGATTTAAAATTACATAAGTTAAATTTTAAAAACTTGTAAATGTTATTATTTCAAGATATTTCGAATATTGCAACCGATCTTTCAAAATATATTACTACTGATGTTAATGTTAATATTTTTCAAACGATTGATGAACGATTAAAATTTTTACGATTAGATAAAAAAATTGACTGAATTTGGATAATTATTTGATTTTCTGGTGAATAATATAATTAATAACTGTTTAATGCTTTATTGTGCATACGAATAATTTGCAACAATTGAATCCAAATATTTAAATTAAATTTTTATTCTTTATTAATTGAGACGGTTATAAATGTATACATTATAGTTTATATAGGCAAAAAGATTTTACTTATGTCTGAAGTTTAAATAAAATATTTTAATAGAATAATTATATTTTATATTATAAATGATTACAAAATAAATCTACATTGAGAATTCAAATTATTTTAAGTGCAATATTCTGTTATACTATATTTAACTAATGTAGTAATAAGTAGAAAATATTGATAACAATGTAATTAAATACTAATAAAATACATTCAGTTTCTACTTTTAATAAGTTTTAAGTACTAATGTAATAAATAATGTCTTTTCTAATTTTTTAAATGGAATTTTATTATTTTTATTACCAAAGAGTATTATAACAATATTATTTTACTTTATTAAAATATTTTAAATGTTCGCTAATTATAAGTATTTAAAATTTAATATCGGCTAAATAAAAATTGAAAATTTTAATTGAGAAGGAAAATAGATCTTATAAAAACGTGAATAAGCAAAATGTTATTTTTCTATTTGTAATAATTCTATTTAACTTGGTTTTTAGCATGCAATATTAAATTATAACAATTTTTTTCCAATCTATTACTCATACTAAGTTTTAAGCTTGAGCTATTAATGATATTATAACAATTTTAACATTATTGGTTATATTGATTACAATTAAGATATACTCTGTTAATATAAATGAAATTATATCGACTATTGTAATCCGCTTGCGAAAACTGCCTGTTTGTAAAATATATTTAATAAAAAATAAAAAATAAACAGATTTAAAACAATCTGCGTTAGAAATTGAAACATTGTAATAAATGATTTTATAAATATCAACGGAATTCGTGACGTAGATTATAGTATACATATGATGATATGCATTAAAGTAAAAAATCAACGAAACTGGAAAATTTTTGTTTTATTTAATTATTTTTACAGCTTTGTTCTACATAGACGTAGTTCTTATGAGACTGATAAAACATAATCGATTTTTAATATTAGCGATATGATTTATATGCTTATACCTTAATATTTGTATAGTTTATTTCCTTTTTGATAACTATTAAAGCAATTTTCTAGTTATTGTTATTATTGTCATGAACATTATCAATATAATTACTATTAAAATTATTAATACAATTTATTATATCCTAGTCCTACATTTTTTTATTGGGAAAAACAAAATTTTGCTCGTAATCGAATACAAATTTTTAATTTGATAATCTTCTAAATGGTATATTTTTAAATACCAATTTATCTATATGCCTCTTTTATTAGTATTATTTAAATCTAGTTATGTACTATATGTCGTGATAAAATCTTAATGCAGGTGATAAATTAGCATGTCTTAAGACTATTCAGCTAATAATTAGTTAGGACGGCATAAAAATATATTATGTATATGTTTAAAAATTAATAAAGAATTATTTTTAAACAGAGGGCAAAACAAAATACGGTAAAAGGTTTCTACTAGTTTTATCAGCTCATTCATATAGAAAACATAGATTTTATAAAATAATATTTATAAATAATACAAATACATGTTCTATTTTTTATCTCAAGTCAATTTTTAATCAAGCTCATAATTACATTCTAATGAATGAAGAATATAATATCAAATGTATAGTTACGTTCCATGAAATGAACAAAATAATAAGTAAAATACATGATATTACGTTATTTGTAACAAAAAATTAATATGAATAATGTCAATAATGAAAAATGTATGTTACGGTTGAAATCATGTGATAATATATATACATTTTTATTTATACATTTTATAAGAAATTATAATACTGTAATACGCGATATTTTTTAATTTATATGTTCTAATGGTGTAAAAATGTATTTGTATTTGGAATGAATAAATTTTGATTATTTTGTAGACATTTCTTAATTTTACTTAATGTATATGAAATATAAATATTGTTAATTTTAAAGTATGTAATATTTGTATCCATGAACCGGAACGATTGCATAAATACATTGCGAATATATATATATATATATATATATATATATACAGACAATATCTTCATTTATAAGGCAAGAATACACTAAATTTGTATGGTAATTGTATGTTCATAACTGCTAAAATTTTGCCTATGTTTTACAAATACATGGTAAAAACTTAATTATGATTAAATTACTTTTGATTTTTGGATATAATTTATAAAAATCATACTAACCGAGAAAGTTTGTAAGGCATGAAAGGTACATAAAAGTTATTTCGATGTATAATTATTATTCATATGATTTGGTTGAAAGATAAAATGTTTTTTATATAAGTTTAACATACTGTTCTTTCATTGGTCTTTTACAATTTAGAATGATAAATATAAATTAGTTTGTAATTTGGGATTTATATTAATTATATATTTAACTTATCAAAAATTTGAATGTAACGATTGTAAAAATGATAGGTATTAAATAAAATTATATTTTTAATTAAATTTTTCATGAATAATTGAAGCCTATAAGATATTAATTTTGAACAATTGAGTTCGGAATTCCAGTCACGCAGTGGTCTAAAGACCAAGACGGTTGGATTAAATAATGTCCACCATTTTACTAGTGGAACAGTCTGAATAAATGAGAGGTTAATGCTTTAAATCAGTAATCAACATAATTGTTTTTCGTACTATTTATTGAGTTTTTAATTACAAACAATTATGTTTCTACGTTGGAGGTGAGAATCGTTGAAACTTTACTGCTCCTTACTGGTTTTTTAAGTGGAATTAGCGTGCGCTGCAAGTCGAGGTTGGAGGTTGTAGATCTCCAGGTCGTCTTGTTGAAGTGTACTTGGTGGAATTAATACATTAAGAAGTGCAAGGGCATAAATCCTTGACACTCCTTGTATAATGCCACATATGGTACTTTAGATACGAGTCTCTTCATCGTGACAAATATAATGATCCAATACTTCAGTGTATCTTTGCAGTACTCTGTGGCACTTATCGAGTTGCAGTTGGCATTGTCTCCTCAATCCGGTGAACAGCTCCGCTTACAGAAGGTGCCGCACTTCATCCGAAGAACAGATCGGATTATAATGACGTCAGTGTGGTGGCCCCTTGCAGTTCAGCGCTTCGCTTTGTTCAATCTTCTCAATGCTCCAAGGAAGTGCCCAAATTTTGTGCATCTTGTAGTCTTGTACATTTTTATAATGCTGTCAATACTCTTGACTGCTTTCAATTATTGTGCACTTGAGAATTGACCATGTATTGATTATAATGCCAACGCTTTTGATGTAACTGAGTAATTAGCTTATAACTGTGAAGTTTGACTGAATGATGTTATTACAATGAGCGTCGACAAGACTGTTAAATACACACACGAAACTGAAGGCTTTGTCGTTCTGTGGCTACTCGGTTGATCAATAGCGACTTTCAATTGCGGACCTGCCAAGATAGACCGGGATCCGTGTCATGGCATCTTCACTGAGAAAAGTTCACTAAGAGAGAATTCGAAATTGCAAGAATCTTCCCAAGTCGTTAAACAACTGGAAAACACGTCATTATGACTTTCGGAAAATCCAAGTCATTAAGTATCTGGCGAAAACAAGTCATAAACACATCTGACGAAAACAAGTGATAAAGACAGCTGGAAAACGCATGTCGCTTGATATTTGCAAGGAATTGCTACACGCAAATTTTACGATTTTTACGGTACATAGTGTACATATTGTGGTGGAATTTAACTGCAAGGTAGTATGAATGGAAGGGGAAGAACGCTTAAACAAGTCCCTCTCATGGAGGGGATTCCAGTAAGAAGTGTTCTAATTGGAGCCTTCAACAGTGCGAGAGAGAGAGAGAGAGAGAGTCAACTCGATTGGAGACGCAAATGTTAAAAGAAGCGCTTTGATTGGAGACGCGAAGAAAGAGGCAATTCATAAATGACCATACGGTGGTCACAAGAATGCTTTTAAGAAAGACGCCGGCAAGGCACAGACGCTTCGAATACAAGGAACGCT